GAAGGCTTGGTGTGGTATGTTGTGGTGTTCCATGTTTGCTCGGTTTGTCCCTGTTTTTTGCCATGATTTGTTTCCTGTTGGAAGGATTGTTGCCAATGTTTCTTTCCGTCAATGTTGTTGCCAAAGTTGTTGCCTCTGTTGATGTCTCGTCTGTTGCCTCTGCTGATGTCTATGTCCTTGTCACTCTGAGCTTCGTATCTCCTGCCGTTCGTCTTCCAGACGTGCTTCTGCGAATGAAATGGCATATGGATATCGAATGTAGTTGGCAAAACGAAGGTGATCTTTGTGAATTTCCTTCCATCCTTCATGCCAATTCTCCTTCACGATGTCCATGAGCCCTTTTTCCAATTCAATAGCTGCGGTCCCTTGATCTCTATCATAGGTTGTCTTTGCCACCACTTGTTTGGCTCTTAAGTTGTAAATTTGCATGTCTGTTGGTCGATGTGACAGTGTGTCTTGGCCTTTGTGTGGTGAAATGTCATGGGTTGTAAGGATGTGCAATATTGTGGTCAACGTGAGGTCGAGAATGAGATCGATTTTATTGATGTAATTGGTGATGATCAACCGATGTCGTCCTCCTTTGTGGTGTTGCACGTAGTCGCCTTTCTCATTCCAATAGTACAATGGGAATTTTCCAGAGAAGCTTGTGTAAGCGATTGAAATTTGCGACTTTGTGTGTAGTAGCCATGCTCTTATTTCCCATTCTGCACGCCCGCTTTTTCCACCAGCCAATCTGTAATCCTGGTTCTATCGTAATAGCTTGCTTCTCTGGGCCAAGCCTTGACGATCATTGTTGTGGCGTTCTCTTTGTTTTCTCTGTCAAGGACCAATTCATGAGTGTAATTTGATATGCGTCTGAGATCTTCAATCTCATCTTCGTGTCGTTGGTTGATGTCTGGGAATTTTAGGATTTTTTTTCCCCACCTGCCAGGTGAGGGTTGTTAAATTTTAGCATAATTGTTCTTTCTCCTCCTCCTCCTTCCTTCCTTCTTCGCCCATCTGCATCGCCGATCTTATCTGCCCAATTCCGGATCGCAATATGCATCCCTAGACCTCAATCGCAAGGATCCCCTCGCAAGGTGCACCCCTAAACCAAGGATCCGATCGCAAGGTGCACCGCTAGACCTCAACCACAAAGATCCGATTATAATGTATACCCCTAGACCTCAACCACAAGCATCCAATCGCAATGTGCACCGCTAGACCTCCATCGCAAAGACCCGATCGCAATGTACACCCCTCGACCTCAACCAAATAATTTTCCAAATGAATTGTGCTCAAAACGTATGGCATCTGCCTATGTCGTAAGACTTTCCTTACGCAGCAGTTTACGCCTGGCTTACGCCACCACAATGGCAGCTTACGCGCACACTTTGCACACAAAGGGGCTTACGCAACACTTACGCGAACACAATCTTGCACCCGGCCACAACGCCAGCTTACGCACCATCTGTTTTCCAAGCAAAGCACAACACACAACAGGTTTGTTACGTCCGCGGGTGTAGGGCAGTGAGAAGCCAGGATTTCGTAGATGGTCTGGACAATGCGTTGCCTTTGGCGCCATTGCGAGTCAGAAAAAGCCTGCTCTTTAGGAGGCATCGTGGGCCACCGTCTACAAAAGAGAGGGGGGCTTACGCGCAGCTTACGCGAAGCTTACGCGTATTACCGACACCAAAACCGATAACCGCATGGTAACATAGTGTGTCTGACAACTGCTGGTAGATTTTATGGCTACGGGAGTTGTTTGTATGGCTATAGGAGTAATGTTTGCATGTGTCGACCCATAAAATCTCTGTTTTAATGCCTATATCCTATATATAAATCACTACAAAAACCCCAAGAACCCTTCTTTCTGTGGAGCCAATCACCTTCGATCATACCAATTGCCAAGAAAAAGATCCAATGCAAGCCTTCATCAACAAAGATCTCCTATAATTTCCAAACATTTCAAGAATACATGTGACAAGTATGTTAAATTTCGACTTTCTTACGCGGCTTACGCAAATTTCATCTCACAAAAAACGCTTACGCAACCTTGCGCACATCAGAATTTTGCTTACGCGAAGCATTCATATAACAAACCCACTATCAAACATGAACGAGGAAGTTCTTAGCGCGGCTCAAAAAACATATTGCAAGAAAATATCCCAAATAATATATCAAATAATGTGTAGAATAAATTGCTAAATATATTACCAAAGAAAATGATAGAAAATATACGAAACAAAATATCAAATAATATGTTACATAAATTACCAAATAGAATAGTAAATTAAATGGTAAATAATACATTTCAATTACGTAACCATAACTTCCCAACCACAAAAATACAAATTCATAACCCCAAATTCATAACCACAAACACAACCACAAACACACAACCACAACCGCAACCACAACCACAAACATAACAACAAACACACGCCCACAAAGACACAACAATCGACACACAAACACAAACACACAACCACAAACACTCAACCACAAACACACAACCACAACAACAAAACCACAAAGACACAACCACAAACACAACCACAAAGACACAACCACAAACACAACAACAAGCGCACACCCACAATCACACAACAATAGACACACAACCACAAACACAACCACAAAAACACAACCACAAACACACAACCACAAAGACACAACCACACACACAACCACAAACACACAACCACAAACACACAACCACAAACACACAACCACAAACACAACCAGAAACACACAATCACAAATACACAATCACAAACACAATCACAACCACAACACACAACCACAAACACAATCACAAACACAACCACAGCACACAACCACAAACACAACCACACACACAGAACCACAAACATAACAACAAACACACAACCACAAAGACACAACAATAAACACACAACACAACCACAAACACAACCACAAACACAACTACAAACACAACCACAAACACATCCACAAACACACAACGACAAACACACAACGACAAACACAACCACAAACACACAACCACAAACACGCAACCACAACAACACGACCACAAAGACACAACCACAAACGTACAGCCGCAAGCACAACCGCAAACACATCCACAAACACACAATCACAAACACACAGCCACAAACACACAATCACAAACACAACCACAGCACAGCACACAACCACAACCACAACACACAACCGCAGCACACAACCCGAGGACCCACAAGCAAAATCGAGAACTACAATACTCACGAACATGGCAACATGCTCCTCACTATGGCATCAAATCAAATGATTGAAATGTCATGGTGGGGATCACTCGAAGTAAAGCAATTGTAGTCCTTCGTATTATTCAACAATTTGTTCTGTTGCTGCGCTGCCTGAGCTACGAATTCAGCCTTCATCCGAATGTTCAATTCCTGCATCTTCTTCAATATGCTTCTCATTTCTTCTTCTACTTGTCTTTTAGAGTGGATGGGGTGTTATCTTTCTTCTGCGATTGTGTCTTTCGAAACCTTCTGCGGTGTTCTTGTTATTTCGTGCAAGTGCTTGGTGGATGTGGTAATTGATTTGCTCCAGATTCGTCGTGGGTGTGGTGGCTTCTGTTATTTCTGTTCTTGTGGCTTTTTCCGTTCTGTCATCTGCCTCAACCATATCTGCATCATCTAATATTGGTATCTCTGTATGAGGGAGTCGAATCTCCAGTTCTATTAGATTGATAGGTTGTCCTCTATCTTCTGCTGCCTCTTCTTCCTCTTCCTTGCCTCTATTGTCTTCTTTCTTCTTCGTCTTTATATGCGACTTCTTCACAACATGAATCATATCGAACATAAACTTAAAAATTTTCAAATTTTGACATTTAAGTCTAATATTATCCTATCCAAAGAATATAATGTTCGCTTTTATTTTTTACAAATACATCTATCTATTTTGAATAATTTATATTAATTAAATATCAATTATAAAGTAGAATATCTAGAAATTTAATAATAATTATCAATAATATAAACAAGATATATATAAATAAAACATATATTTACAATCATACATTCGATTATATTTATTCAATATAGATATACATTATTTTTTTAAATTATATTATATATATAAACATGCATATGTAATATTTTAAATTCAAATATTTTTCTATTTCAACATAGGCCAAAAATATATCAATCTATATAATATTTTTAATTGTATAATATTTATATCGCAAAAATACGTGATTCCAACCGATTACTTAATTCGTAATATCTATAAATATCCAACGAATATTTCTAATAATTCTATTATCATTATAACACAATATGTATATTCATATATCGCAATCCAAAAAAAGATATTTTACTATAAATATATCAATAGTCGAATCAATTTATATATTTATTACATAGCCTCATACATTTCAATTAATAATTATAATATATATATATCATTTTCCACATTTTTATAAAGTCTATAAATAATATTTACAATACAATATATTTTTTAAATATAAAAATATATGTATGATAATCAAAATTCCTTCTGCATAATAAAAACGTAAATATCGTTTTCCATGGCCCCATTCTCGTTCACTCCCACTCACACGCTTTCTAAAACACCCAACGCCCACACCCATTTGCGTACGCATTCACACTCTTGCTCTCCCTCCCCCTTTCATATAAACATATTCATCCTAACACTAAAATTTGCATTAACCACCACCGCCACCATCATCTCCACCTTCATCATCACCATCACCTCTCTAGACCCCAATACCTCTAGATCTCTAGACTTTCTGCTTATATAACTTACACACACTATTTAAGGCTTCTTACCGGATAAACCATAGAATCTATAAATATACTATATAAATCTAAATAATATATATTTAGATCCATATCCAATATATATATATATGTTTTTTTTCTTTTGAAAGACTCTTTATAATCGTCCAAAAACAACATTTCTAAAAAAAGTTATATATATATGTATAAATATTAATACTATTTATGGATATTTATGTGTATTTTTCATCGTTATCGGAGACGTTGTAATGCCTCGAATTTCAAAATTGATATAATACAAAATACAATAAATTACATTGACATATAGAGGGAAATGTCGTGCCTCCAAGAGATGTGCGGCACTTGTGCGGCTCTCTGGGGGAAACATGAAGCAAAGTTCAGCAACTCGCTGCACACTGGAGCCTTGGACAAAGTCGTTACACATCCAGTAGAAGCCTTTGCTTGGCATCCAAGAACCACAATAAGAAGAATGCGAGGCCAAGACTGACTCCGCGCCTTAAAATTTGGCAATTGTGTGTTTGTGTTAGCTTCGAGATGCGAGGGCTGGCTTGTGCCTTCCGAATCTGTTGAGAGAATCCTAGGCTGTAAAAACGGGTTAGTAAGCAATTATATATTTCCATCAAGTAATCCGCTGTTACACTCTTGTTGGACGCAAAAGGGCTCAGGCTTTAAAAAGGTTGGATTCCTCGATTTATTGTGAACTTTGTTTATGCATCTTTTGAGGATTTCCTATTTTCATGATTTAGTAAAAGGTAATCAACTACAATTGAGAACCATGAAGCCTAGCTAAACAAGTCTAAACAATGCGTCAAACCAAAGCTGCCCCACTGCTGAAAAATACGATCTCTCTGGATGTCACTCACAGTTGTAGTTTGATTCTACTTATGGTAAGGGCATTCAGGATTCGATTCTTTGTGCTCGGACCAGTCATTGAAGGGCAGTTGCTTCTCCACAAGGGTCTTCCTCAGTGGTGGGCAGGAGGAGCGAGTTCAATTATATGCTCGCTTTCTCCAGCCATCAAACACTGCAAATAAGTCTCGTCATGACTTGCTGGATTGATGTGCACTCCTGTGAAACACTGGAAACGGGTGGAGAGGGTTTATATACAAATGCCAAACAAGTGGTTGATTTGCTTTTGATTGGCTGAAGCCTCACGAAACATCAAGCGTGCCCCAACAAGTGGGACAGCTGGCCTCATGAGGCAACCTGCTGGAAATTACTTCCACCACCAAACAGCCCAATGCCCATACATCCACCTTCAACTTTCAGCACAAACTGAGCACATCAAGTTCATTACTTCTCGACAAACAAAGAATCACAACTGTAGGATGTTGTTTCTGCACCTTTTCAGTGATCTTTCCTCGCGAATCGAAGAGTTCAGGAGCCATATACCTCATCAAAAGCCACGGGCAATCATTTTCCGGTCATTGACACACGAAAACATTATCAACCATTACAGATCATTAAAGTATGCCGGTTGTTACCAGTTGAAACTTGAAACCAAAAGAAACCTTCTTTTTTGCTAGAGGCTACCAGCTGAAGGTGGCCGATGAATTCTTACCTCATTTCCAAGGCATTTGCCGTGGAGATCCTCCCTCATTGTCTCTACGACCTCATTTTCCACCAGCACGTCTGAAACCAAACCGAGTAGGTTGGACAACTGTGAAGTTCAGAACTTGGCGGGCTATTAGCTCTCGCCGGCTTGGATGTAATGTATAGCAAAGAGGTGTTCATTTACCCGCAGGTTGCATGACGCGAAGTATTTGAGCTCTTGGCTGATGTGGGTCTTCTCCATTGACTGTGAAAAGGGAGGTCACGAACGACACAAAGTTTCTTTAACTTTGAGTTTCGAAGCTTGGCGTTTGAAAGCAAGCACAAAGCACCTTTGATAGACTGTTCATTGGCTGAAGTGACCTAAAGAATGGCAGCCGAGCTAAATGGCCTGGGTAAGGCCGAAGTCGCACAACTTTGCGTTCAGATCGAAATCCATCACAACCTTGGAAGAATGCAAAGAGGACAACCCCATGCAAAGTTAAACACGGCAAATGCATTGCAAATCAGAAAGTCAGTACTGTAATTTTTGCAGCATAGGAAGTATAGGACGGCTCTTCCAATCTCATTTGATAGACATCAACAGACTATTGAATTGCTCCCTTAAAACGTTTGGGCACTGACGTTCATGCTTTTCAAGTCCCGGTGAACAAAGGGTGGCGCCCTGCCATGCAAGAAGCTCACCTGCAACTGCAGTCGGTTCAGTGGAACTGTGGGAGTTGGAATTTGACAATTTGACACAGTGCCGTTTCACAACTTTTGCTCCTAGTAGCTTCTTGCTCCTAGTAGTACGGCCAGGAGCTCCTAGTAGCTTCTTGCTCCTAGTAGTAGGCTCCTAGTAGCGTTCTTGCTCCTAGTAGCGATGCCCTTTGCTCCTAGTAGCGAACCTTGTTACTAACATCCGTTCCTTTCCCCGTCCATGGGCTTAGAATCTGTGAACATCTCTTTTTGCCAAGTCACCCCTTCAGAAACCTGCCAGGACGGTTGCCAGGACGGTCATGTCATTCAAACATGCCAGTCCAATGACGGCCAGCTTTAGAGTCTGCATCTTGGTCCAACATTAAGATTTATCAATCTGTGAATTCTCTTGTTTTTGAGTGCTCCAGGTGGAAAACCGCACAGGCACCAGAGGTGTCCTTTCTTCGCCGATCAGGTGCTGTCAATCGACTAAACAAATCCCACCTGTGTGGCAATTTTGTTGCGCTGGTTGTGTTCCATTTTCAGCCTCAGCTGTCCGGAAAGACTTTTCTGCCAGGTGTTTAGAGTTTAGGGCAGCGTCAGCGTTGTTGCAATTCTTGCCGCCACGACTGGTCAATGAACACCAGGCGTTTCACTTTTTCAGATCGCCATCCGCTAAAAGACTCTCAAACATGAGCCACTCCAAGCATACCGGACACTCTTCTGAGAGTCCTAAAGGCAAAGACACAACATGAAACAAACCATTGAATTGAGCTCAGTTTGGGTGCCTTTTGTTCGAAAACCATTGTCACATCGTCGAGACCTGCGTCACGAGGTCTGTGATTGTTTTGGTTTCCGCACCCGAGGCATCTTTTAGCTCAATAAAGCCATCCCTTCACTGCATTCTCAAGCCAAGACAGTGCAAGGTGCCAGGACCTGCAGTGACCTGCATGACATTGCTGGTGCGTGTGCACAGCTACAGCAGCTTAGCAGGTGTTGATCATCCCGCCCCAGGACCAAACAGGCCCAAAAGGATCACTCCAGCAGCCAGGGTAGTGGCTCCTGGCGCCGCTGGCATTATTGATATCATCGTGCGCCATGGGGTGCTGGAGGAACATGCTTGGCTTACACTGGCTGTAGCTATGGAAAATGCTCTTTCAGCATCATCTGAGGAGATTCAAGATGACTGGACAGGGCCAGTGTGCTTAGAGAATTGGTGGAGCTAGGATCATCCAACGCACATCCCAAGTCCGCTACGCGCCCATGTTGTTGCTGCAGGTGTAATTATTGTGATATGGTCCTGATATGGTATGCACGTCTCCAGATCCTATATCGATACACCGGACTCCATGGTTTGTACATGTCAAATGTTTGTATAATATATCCTCCATGCGTGGGGGGGCTTAGAATGACAATGTAAGCAATTTAAAGGTCCCCACCCCGTGGATGGGAAGAAAATGCGTCGCACATACCTTGCAAACATTGCAATGCTTGTCATTGTTCAATCTAGCCAAGTGGAAAGCTGTCCTCTTCATATCAGGCCTGACAAACATAGATTATAGAGTTCAAGTGGGTAGCAATCGAGACCTCACCTTCACCGAACTCAAATTCAATGACGAAGGTGAGATTGCAGGAAATGTTCCGGTCTAAAACCTTAAGCTGGTCCTGCCCAGAAGACTCCAACTGCATTTCCCACAATCTCTTTGAAGACGTAGATCCCCCACAAGCCACCGAAGACCAGGGCACACTGGAGGATGGGATAGGCAACGCCATAGGGGAGCAAGAAAGGAGGGCTTTGGGCGATGACCGATGCCACATTGCCTGGATGCATCTGCAGCACGATGAGGTCGTGGGAACAACCATGTACTGTAACCGGTCACTTGTTTGACCCCCCCACCCAACCAAACAATTTTAAAAATCACACAAAGAGTTTACCAGAAACGGGTGCCTTTAAACACGATTAAAAACACAAATTCAAATAGCCACAGAAAAATCGTGCTGCCTGGTGACCTGCATTCCAAAGTAAACCACTAGCTAAGCCTGCTGCAACCTGGTCTCCTCTCAAAGCAGGGAAGGAGCTTGACTTCAAGATCCCTTTCACGTACCTCAGGGCATCACATCCCCCTCCGGTGGCCGGTAACAAAGTCATGCTTTGCAACATTGATATCTGAAGAAAAGGGTTTGAATCGAACCAATTTGTCTGCATCGCCATTGTCAACTTTCATCAAAACAAATCAGGGAGGTGGTTAGTTATACATGTTTTACCTGAGGGACCGGATTTATGTTGTATTTTGTTGATGTGTTTTGTTTTTGTTGGTTTTGTGGCAGGTGCAAGGGGTTGGATTGGTTTTGCTTCCATGTGCAGAGTTCGTGGCAGGTTTTACTTTTACTGAAATCCTTCAGTTTTCAATGATTGCCATCCATTTTCCATGTTTTCTATCATTTTCCATGGTGTTCATTGATTTTGGATGCAGATTTCCATGGCTTTCTATCGGTCTTCCACGTGTTTCATCGATTTTGCGATGGCTTTAATCTACACAGAATCCAGAAGCCATGAAAGCCACGAAAGACAAAAGCCACAAAAGCCAGAAGCAAAAAACAAGAACACCATCATTCAAAAAAAACACATAAAATAAATGGCCCTCCTACCAGGGCCTACCATTTTGACACGAGCTTCGTTACATTCTACCATTTTGACACGAAAGGCATGCAGCATGCAAGCAAACCAGTGGCAGTAATTCGCTGGGTAGCATGGAACATGCGCACATCTTGGAGGATTCGCCAGCCCACTTAAGCCGAGCAGCCCGAAGGTCACGATCACTCCGGCCACCAGGGCTCCAATGCCAAAGGAGGGAATCGCAGCCAAACCAGCCACATCAGGCGGGATGTACTTGAAGGGGACCTTAGATCCACTCATTTAGCAAGTGAGGGATACTGCATCTACTGATCGCCAGAGCACTGAGAAAGCTGTTTTTTGTTGGACAAGTGACTGGTTGATTATATATACCTATGATGATATATATATATATACACATATTTTCTCATGTTGCTCATGAGAACATACGTCAGGCCATTACTAGGCGTATTTTTTCCTCAGGCTCCGACTACTCCACCTCCAGTATACCCTGTGTGAATGATGAGGTGTTCTGATGCTGTGTTTTGAATTCTTCTTCCACACTTGTCAATTTGTTGGCCGACTGACAATAACATCCAGCAACATTCACAAAAGGAGATGAGCTTCTCGCCATTCTGTTACCAAGCTGCCAAAACAGATCCGCCGAAGAGCCCCACCGCCAAGGCAGAAGAGATACCGGCTGCCTTGTCCTGGGTTGCGGGATGCGAGTGTCTCCTCACTGGACAATGTGTGAGTGTGGGTGTTCGGGGTGCCCATTTGAAATGCTATATTCATCAATGTCATTCTTGAGGTTGACGCATATCAGACAAAGCTTCGCAGATTCTCTTGAACCTAGATGGGGCTATAGAATGGCATGTTAGCAACCTATGCCAGAACATCCCGTTGCGTCAATCCACATACACACCAGTTACTACTGTATCACTCTTGCAGAATGTATTCCTCTTGATCTCCCACTTGTTTGGGAATTTTCACGTTGGTCATGGCCAACACCGTGCCGTGGGAACTTGGCCCTGCCAAGCAGCACTGCCAGCTGCCTCTTGGGACTCAGACTGCTGTGACTGTGGGTTACCACTCAATCGCCCGGCAATGCTATCACAGTTCACAATGACCAATGCACCTCCAAGAAGTGCATCTGACATAAATGATATATGAAATACACAGACAAAGACAGTGCCGTCAGATGCATTTAAGGATTGCCCGATTGATGATCTCACTTGACCAACAAACCATGGCATCTCAGCAGGGCGTCCATTACATATTATCGTATAATTACATATATATATATACTTATCATCTCTCAAAAACTCGTGCAAGGAAGCTAAAGTTATAAGGAAGCAAACCACACACCTACTGCTGACATGTTGCACGTGGATAACAACAAAGCGGAAGTAACGCAGCAAAAACATATAAAGAGGTTCGAATGGCCTGCCACAAGCAATGCCACTGCTAAAAGGGTTGCTGGGATATTGCCCACTGGAGCTGCCACCTCTGCTGGGCCAATGGCACCCCAAGCAAAGGAGACTAAAATGGCAGAGCAGGACCACACGGCCTGTGCAGTGGCAAGGCCAGCCCTGGGGATCGCCACAAAGCTGAAGAGCGCAGCAAAGACGAAAAGAACACCACCCAATGCGCCTGGGAGAGTGAAGACGAAATTCAGGTTGAAGATCAATGGCACGAACAATGAAGACAAGAAGACCCCCACACAAACCAGGCCGTTGAACACCACAGGGTCCAGGGCAGGACCTCTGGGAATCCGCTGACAGACCGGGAAGGATCCATTGAAGAAGGAGGACAAAGCTGCGATACCAAACCCAATCAGTTCATCACCAGCTGCCGCTGAGGAGGCGGTGTTGGTCCTGGTGGCGCGTGTCTCGAGAAAGCAAGCTGATCCTTTGCATAAATGATGCCTCGGCAAAGTTGCTGGAGGCAAAGGCGGTGAGGGTCCAAGCACTGCTTGCCATGAGGACGGAGATGATGTAAAGGTTGATGAAGAAAGACCTTTGCTTGTTGCTTCACTTGAGGTGGCAAATTGCACTGACACCCTGCAGCCTTTGTATTGCTTGGTCCCTATTCATTGAAAGATATGGCATGGCGGGTCTGTTTTACTTACTTATTGACTGGGGTGAGCCCCAAATATGAGTGCATGCTGAGCACGACTCATTGTTGAAAGCACAACGCCATGCATTCCCAATAAACATTCGTATGTGATTAGCAGGTCATCCTTTATTATGAAATTCAATATTTCCAGAAAACCCAGATCAAATCTGATTTGTTGCGCACCCAAATCAGGGTTTTGGAGGCAACATGACCAAAATGACAGTCAGGATGCATATTTATAAAAATCAGCTCCGAAAAAAACAAGTGAAAGCGGACGAATGCAACATGAAAGCACATTTGCGTAATAAACTCCAGATGTGACTATTCTTGCAGATGCCCCAACCCTACCTTTATTAGAACGAATCTGGCAGCAGCGATGAACTCTTTGTGATTTGTCCAGCGTTATCCACGAGCACCCAAGTCTGAAACATCAAAGTCCCCAGCTCTCAGCTTCACTGAAAAAAGGGGATCCTTTCTGTAGCACCCCAATACGGCAAATGCCAAGGTGGCACATGTTCTTCGTGATTGAAACATACTATATATATATATAGCCACAAAATGATAAGGGTGAATGTCGAACAAAACCAAATGTCATCATCTATACGAATCTATATACCAGTCTTTGGTCAAAGGCTAATAACTAAGTCAACCGAGGTGACCCGTAAGAGAGGCGACGGCCATGGCCACGCGTTTCGTTCGATGGCGACTCTGGCGACTCGTGCCTTTCATGTTGGTACAGTATGATTTGAGCTAAAACGTCACAGCCATTCTCAAGTCGAAATGCCCAAAGGTCCCGCTGGCTGATGCATGGCATGGAGTTTTTGTTCGTCATGCCCCACCTACACATCGCTACCTTCCACACAACGGCGACAGCGATGGGACACATTGATTGGACCAAAGGCAAAAACATTTTTTGATATTTGTTGGGGTACAAGTTCAGTTTCTCTGAAGAACCAACATGTCCTCGTCGCAAGCCTTCGCAAAAAAGGAAGACAAAACCCATTCTGAGATGACCGGCTTGCGCTGATGCAATGCCTCGTATAATGACCTTGGACACGAGCAAATCCAAACCGTGGACTTCTGCTAGGTCAGCCTCCAAGAAGGCGAAGGACGGATAACGACAACATGTGCGTCCGTGATATGTCTATAAAAATGACATGCTGACCTTCGGAGTCAAAACATAAAACGATCAATGATCAAAGGCAATGACGACCTCAGAACAATGCAGTTCTTCATTCGAAATGAAGCAGCTCTATCCTAAAGCCAGCACATGCCAGCACCATAGACTTCAATAGCTAGATTGCTAGGGCTGCTAGGAGCCCCACCCATTGGGCATGAATTCAGTAACCTGACAGCGATCAACTTCGAACATTTACATGGATGACAGCTAGTCTGACTGAAAAATACAAAGAATGCAGGAAGCTACAGTGGCATGCATCAAATGGACAGCAAAATCGCCGAAGAAACGCCAAGTTGCAATCATTAATGAGGGTACAGCCAGTGCAGCGCCTTGGCCAGCACAGCCAAAGGCTGGGAATGGGCAGGAAAAAGTGCTGGGCAAACAATCTTAGAGCTCCGACATGCTCCGACTCCTTTGCCAGACTTACATTGTCCGATTCTGATAGCAAGTCCACTAGCAAGTCCATATTGAATAATATTGAAGAATTGTAGAGAATTGTAAATAATTGTTCTTGAATCATTGAGTCGATTCCGGATTCGAGCAATGCAAGCAATGCGGCCAACCGAGTCGTTAAACAAACTGGTCAGTGTCTCAAACATTGGGCATTTCTGGGCTTCAGCATCCCTTGGGCTGAACGGAAGGGTCCTGGCGGTGTAATGCTAAGGTTGAAGCCAATGAAGCTGACAAGTCGAGGATGGCGAAGAGCTTGCAAGTTCATCACCTGCCAAAGTTTAAAGCGTGATCTTGGGCATCCAACGGCTTTGCCTTTTGTTCAAGGGGGGAACCAAGCTCCATATGAACACGCACAATATAACTATACAATACAATATAGCTGGAGACATGAGAACAAGCCCCAAACCTCTTCACAAAAAAAAAATCAAGTAAGTTTGACTCGACCTCTTTCTTGAACTCAGCCACTTGCTCGCTGGAAACCTCATCAAACTCAAAAGGCTGCACAATGCGGGATGAAACGCGAGGAGTTCCATGAGTGGGAGCGTTGCGACATTTGTGCGACAAGACTTGCGGCATGTTCTGTAGGTTCTCAAGGCCACGTTCCATAGCTACATCACCATTGTACATACTGCACATCACTAAACAAGCCTATATAACATCACTAAACATGATGCATCATAATCGCAAGCCATATTCATGCAATCCAAGCTGCCAAACCCCCAATTGTCGGAGTTGACAGTAACAGCTAAAGAGTCAACCATGCAACTGGCCCATTAGTACATTAGTATCTCGACCCGGAACCGCATCAACTTGGACACTTCACTTCGTCCTACAACCAGCAGAATGTCAGTAACCCTCGGCAAAACAACATGACGACTTAAAGTTCAAACGTCACCTGCCCATCGATAAGGTGAAGCTTCTTGATCGCTACCTGATGCCAGCTTGAGAATTGCTGTTCAGTAAACAGACCCGGCAGCTTTGATTGTATGGTCAAGAGTGCTTCCCTCTCAAGTGGCCCATATATGCCCGCACATCACTGGTTCCGCTCCCTTATCTTTTGCCCTTCTGCCCATTTCTGCCCCACTGATTGGCCATGACAACGCGGCTTGTCATGAGTCATGGCCACAATGCCCATCGAAAAGGCCTCCTGTCCCAGGTAAGTGCCACGGTAGACCGCGCCAAAGCCGCCAGAACCGAGCACCTAAACGGAGCAGTTCCCTCATATTCATTGAGGTGCATTGCTGCATTGCGGGGGGGTGGTGTTCCACACAGAATAGATGTTTATCATCGAACGCGCAACTGCGAACGGCTTCCGCACCCCTTGTTTCAAACTGCTTTAGTGGCCCTGGCCTTGTCTATTTTCAGGTCTTCAGAGTTCAAGAGCAGCTTTTGAGGTTCTTCTTGGACCTGTGCACTGCAAAATTTGGTAAATTGATATCAAACTAAATCTCAAGCTTGGGACGGGCATGGACGGGCCGAGAATTTGCCGACGGTAATCGGCAAAAGCACGTGTATTCCCCATTCGCATATCAACTGACTGTCGATTCTCATTCTTCCTTGCATTGGCTGACACATACTATAATTGTCACTGTAGCTTGATGTAACACCATATCACTTAGATCTGCCCACCTCCTTTTTTGAGAAGCTGGCCACTGCAGGTCTTGTCTCGGCCCTGACTGTGGAAATGACAAATCCGGAAACTACTGCAAGAGCACCAAGGTGCTATGATACAGTAGAGGGGCATTGTCTGAATCTTAAATGAGAGTTGCTTCATCAATGGATTGTAAAAAACAAACGCAGTCTCAAATATTTAAATATTTTACTATATTTTTTTAACCTGCTGTAGCTTGGTTGGATTTTGAGCCTGACCAGGATTGTTTTCCAAGAGGATCTACCTGCTTGCAAGAACATACGGTCAGCTTCCAACATTGTGTCCCAACTAGCTTTGCACTCAACACCCTGTATGAAAACAGCCACCATTCACTTCGAAATCACTGGCACAAATATGGTTGTAGCCCGACTTTTCTTGGAGAGAATCAGTTGAAGGACAGTCTGGATGGGACTTTGGCATGATTTTGATGCATGCAAATCATGCAAAAACTGGGCATATATTCTAAATCCATGGTGTGGGGGGTTGTCCTTCCTACTCTTTAACGCTGTTGCCAATTTCAGGGTACCCTATGACGGGGTCTGCGTCTCTTCGCAACACCTCGTAAACAAGTCCTACTATATGTTCTAATCTGCTTACAGTAATATGAGCGGTATATAGTATACTTGGTATAATTATGAACAAATTTTGCACATTTTTCCGTTATTTGTTATTGTGTTGTACTCCAAAAATGCACACCGACGGCTTCGTCCTTGGTGTTCTGGGCGACACTCCTCGCACTTTGCTGCTGTCTGCATCGATGCCCTGGATTCAGAACTTGTCGAGCACAAGAACTCATGACACTTGTGAAAGGATTGCCCTTTGTTTAGCCGGCTCCCCCCCAATTAAGTAGGTGCTTAGTGCTAATTCAATTAAGTAAGGGAGAGGTAGCTAGTACCTTACCTAAGCTACTACTAGTTAGGGCGCACTATTCATTTGGTTCCTAGATTTTTAGGGAAACATAACTAATTGAATTTGTTGTGGTGCTCGCCGCCTTGAAGAAACCTAGTATTTTTCTAGGGTTCGAGTGGGAGCAAGGCCTCCCCCTTGCAGTACAAATGCACGAGAAAATGTACAGTATCAAAAACGGGCTCTAGTAGTGGCAGTGGCCGTGGCCGTGGCCGTGGTAGTAGTAGTGGTGGTGGTGGTGGTGGTAGAAGAAAAAAGTAATAGTAGTAGTAGTAGTAGTAGTAGTAGTAGTAGTAGTAGTGGAAGTAGAAGTAGTAGTAGTAGTAGTAGTAGTAGCAGTCGTAGTAGTAGTAGTAGTAGTAGTGGTGGTAGTGGTAGTGGTAGTGGTAGTGGTAGTAGTAGTAGCAGTAGTAGAAGTAGTAGTAGTAGTAGTAGTAAAAGTAGCGATAGTAGTGGTGAAAGTAGTAGTAGTAGTGGTAGCAATCGTCGTGAAGTAGTAGTAGAAGAAGTAGTAGAAGTAGTGGTAGTGGTAGTAGTAGCAGTGGCAGTGGCAGTGGCCGTGGCCGTGGCCGTCGTAGTAGTAGTAGTAGTAGTAGTAGTACTAGTAGTAGTACTAGTAGTAGTAGTAGTAGCAGTAGTAGTAGTAGTACTAGTAGTACTAGTAGTACGAGTAGCAGTAGCAGTAGCAGTAGTAGTAGTGGTGGTAGCAGTAGTAGCAGCAGCAGCAGTAGTAGTAGTGAAGCAGTAGCAGTAGCAGCAGCAGCAGCAGTAGTAGTAGTAGTGGTGGTGGTGGTAGTAGTGGTAGTAGTGGTAGTAGTAGAAGCGGTGGTGGTGGTGGTAGTGCTAGAAGTAGTAGCAGAAGTAGAAGTAGTGGCAGTAGTAGTGGCATGAAAGTGGCCAGGTGGTTTCTGAGGGGAACAGACCTATGAAGTGGGTATCGTTTGGTATCGTTTTAGGTATCGGTCTAAACCCATAATTGCTTCCCATCGAAGAAAAAAAGGGAACATTAGCAAAAACAAAATGGAATGTCCAACTAGCATGGCGAACCATACACAAACAAAACCTTGGACATACACTGTCTCGAGTGTCAACAGTGTCAATAGGCAAAGATAGATTCCAAGATGTGTACCGTCACAAGGCTAGGTATCGTTTTTGGGATTGGTATCGCTTTTCAAGGAAAATGCAAATTGCTCATGTGTGTAAAGATGTGAGTGCCGACCTTTAGTACTTCACTCTTCACTCTTTTGTTTTTCGGCTTTGGGGTGCTGGGGTTTTGGGAATGTTCCCAGTTTCCAGCAGTGTAGTCCCCTGTGCCTCTGAGGAGGGTAGCTCTTCAATAGTGGCGAGTGGTCACGGGCTTGGCATAACCTTGTAAGTACTTGTTGCCCAATCTTGTTCTTGTTTGATTTTGACCTTGTTGTTTGAGAGCCTACAGGTCTATATCAATGATTCCTGGCTCTCCTTTTGCTCAGGAAAGCAAGCTCCATGACATGTATTATGGCGAAGTCTAACTTTGGACAGTTGTGTCTTTTCCGATGCCCTTTCGAAGGTTAATTTTCTGCAAGCTTTGTGATCACTCCGTAGGCCGTGGGTGCTGTGTGATTGACCTGATTGCTTGTGACTTCTCACTCTACATATAGCCAGCTGCCCTCCACTTTAGGCTTGCCAAGTGTCAACCCAAAAGAGGCAATGATGTGATGTGCGATTAATCAGGGATGACTGCACCTAATTATACAGTATATATATATTATTACTATTATTAGTGAATTTATTGCTAGGCGCTGAACTTTATTGTTCTGTGCGCAACTCGAATGTCGAAACTTGGCTTGGCTTGGAAAAGCTGGAGGGGGCCAAGAGCAAACCAAGTGCTAAGCCACCAAACACCCTAGCAAATGCAAAAGACGAATTATACATCCACAAGAACCAAAGGCAAGCCATCACACAACAAGCCAGCCTGCAACCGAACGCCAGCCGAAAGCCACACAAGCCACACAAACCACCAAAAGCCCAGAGCCACAAACAGCACAAGCACAAAAAGCATCGACTTCTTGTGCTCGCCAGGCTGTGAAAGCAAGAAACTGTGTTTTTGTTCCATGGGTCCACTAGGTGCTTAAGGGAGAGCGGCCCCAGGATTAGCGAGACCAGGGGACCAAGTACACAGAGGACAGAGGACCAAGGGACCAGAGAGAGGACCGAGGGACCAAAGGACCAAGAGACCAAAAGCCAAGAAGCTGAAAGCCAAATGACAAAACTTCAAGACGCCAAAGCCAAAAGCGAAAACAGCCAAAAGCCACAGAAGACAGGGAAGCAACAAGTAGAACCAACAAAAATCAATTAAAGCAATTGCCTCCATCAATCCAAAAATGGCATGGAACTGCAATGCGGACGAATGCAACTGCGCATCATGCCTCATGTTGCCTGTCCAACCGAATTTGAATCAAATGAGCCACACAAGTTTAAGTTATATGCCTCAATCACCTTCAATTGCTTTCTTTGCTGCAATGCAAGACCTGTATACAATGTAAACGTTGTGTTGGACCGTTCCAGCCTTCTCTGCAACCTGTCATGAAGCAATGCATCAAGGCACATCCCAAGTCCTAAAAGGTCCTTGATACGGTATGTCAGGCATCTCTCTCACCCCAGTGAAGCTCTTACACACCCCACATGTCCCACTCTCCTTATTTTGTGCTACCACAGTCCAGGCTCCAAATAGGACAAACAATGCCAGGGTTCCCAAGTGAATTGCACACTGGTCAAGGCTGGTGGAAGACTCAAGCACGATCAAGCTTTAGTTGGAAAGGTCCTCCTAGAACAATTGTCAAGCCACGTTCATCTCTATGATTCAAAGTCAAGTGAATCACCCAGCGGTGTGGACAAACAGGTCTGAAAAGTCCAAAAAGGCAACAATGTCTCGGATCTGGCCTCCTCGATCTTTGTCTCGGCCGTTCGCCTGTGGAAAGTAAAAAGCAACCTGCCTGTAACTCTTGGCCCATGGGACCAAAGAAAGCATAGCTGTGAAATCTTGAACATCTTTGGACAATCTTTTCTTGATTGATTCTGGTTCTTCGCCATCACCCTGGCCTGAGATTCTCGGAGTTGCGCAAGAGAAGCTTCTCGTAGGCAACGGAAGTTCCTGACAACCTGTTACGCTGGGGGAGCATGCATTTGAACGGAGGTGGCCGCGGCACATAGCTGTCAGCCCTGCAATGATGATATATACATAATATGTGTACATATATATATATATATTATATATACTTGTAGAGAGGTAGAGAGAGACAAATATATACTATATATATATGCACATAAATAGACATACATACAAATATATACATATACTACATACAATAAATATGTGACATGTGTATACATAATTAAACATATACAGCAGCACACTGGCCAACATTCCAGCACAAGCCGCAGCATTGGCTGCATTGATGAATTTCTATTGTCTGGTGGCAACTGGTGACTCAATCCAGGCCTAGGATCAATCATTCTAAGCGCTTGACTGCTTCTCGTCAACCTGAGTTGTACATAAATTCATGAGCTCGGTGGCCCCGGCCCCACCACTGTCTCACGCATGTTCAAAAACACGTGGCCAAATGTGGGTTCAGCAGCTCCGTATCAAGCCCGGCTCCATGGGTTTAACTTCAACCTGCTGTGACCCGTGCCATGTAGTATCGGACCTTCACAGTCTCCGCTTCAGCCTGGAGTTGGAAATCAACTTGCTTTGCATTGCTTTGCTCCCAAAACATCCGACAGTCTCGTTGGCCTGGATGATCTCCGCTGGAAACCAGCGACCCCCACTTTTGCTGTAGACCTGCCATGTTGACCAACAATCCAAGAACAACCAAGCAAACGACATCTTGCTCTGCTGCTACCTGGCCTCAATCTTCTGCCCGACCTTGAAGTCGTCTTCTGCAGCCTTGCCACTTTCAGCCGGCTGCCTGGTCAAAATGTCAAGGAAACCATGTCAGCTCCAACGCGCCAAGCGGCATGCTCGGCATGTCATGCCTGACGTTGGGTGGTTTTGCACTTGAAACATGTGCAACCTGTGAATGTGCACCCGCGTCAAGCGCAGTGAATATCATCTCGGAGAGAGAGAGAGAGAGAGACAGACAGACAGACACAGCCCTTCTGCTGGACAATTCTCGCAGACTTGACTGTTTATCTCTCGGAAAGTTTGTTTTCTACCGCAAACTCCAGAAAGCCACAAATCTCCTAAGATCGCTAGAATTCCTCGGCTTTAGGGTGGGTGCTTGGCAAACTAATCAAACCATCATCAACCAACACTACAAACTTTGCGTATTTCCCTGGAAAACTTTGCAAAAAGCCCCACAACCACGCAAACGTCCACAAATCGAAAAAGGTCCTGGAGTAAATGCTGGAATCCACACCCTTATACAGTAGCAAATTCTCGGATTTGGAAGGTCCAGGAGTCCAGGATGGTGAATAATTACATTGGAACTCCATCAAATCCTTGCAACGTCGCTGAATGATCAAGAATCAAGAATATCTTCGGGTAAAACATGATTTTAAACAATATAAACACACGTCTATATACTGTATGCGTTCACACATGAAGAGATTTGGCACATTCATTTCTATTTGAGCCAACTCCATCCCGACCACTTCCAGTACACACCCGTCCTCGGATATCCGCTCTGGGCCACGCTCCCGGAACCGGCCAGAAGAGTCTCAACCTCCTGCTGCAGCCTGTGACTCTGTCTCTGTTAGGACCCATCGGAGAATGGCACGCTCAAGCACCACTTTAAAGTGGAGTCGCGAGAAAGGTGCGAACAAACCAATCCTAATGATCCCTGTCTCTCCTGTGATGAAGCTACAAGCTCCCTGACAGCACCGGATATGCCTGCTTGGCAGGGCAGGCAGGGAGCGATGAGCCACCTGGTGGGCAATCAGGACAAGGCCTCAACTCTTTTGCACTACTCGCTCTTTTGAAGTCTGCCATCTCCAAATCAAGGCTTCCCCCAACGCCTATTTCTTTTGTTGCCCAGGAACGTTCAGTTTCTGTCGGGAGTTCGGATATTTTGGATTTGGATTGCACCCCAATGTAGTCAGTATAGTCAGAGTTGACCCTCACCAGCTGGACATCCCCAAACCCAAGCAGGTCTAACGCAAGAACCCTGTGGCTCCTGTGGCCCACCTCAACCAGCCGCGGCTCAAAAAGACGAGCAGTCCGAAGAGCACCGGAGGGATCACGCCCCAAAAGGTGCAAAGTTAGAGCCTGCAGGTTCACAGTTCACAGATGCTCAGTCCCGTTCTCATGCTTCGTCTCCAAGGCGGCATCAAATGAGGTGTGCGGACATGAGAGTGAGTTGCACTCTCTGCAGGGTCACTTATATTACAACAACCGTTGATACTTGCATCGCCCCAATCGGCATGCCAGGGGCATAGCCTGCACTGTATGAATCACATTGAGTTACAATACATGGACATAAAGCTGTTTCTATTGGACAGCATCTGTGACAGTAGCTTGGCACTTCCTGCCACGCCTGGAACAAGTGTGTGGACGCTTGAGAAGACACGCGCGCAGCCTCGGCGATTGAAAGACACGCGATGCCTGGAAAGCACCGAAGAAAGTCGGGTCCCCGACCTCGCCTGTGACAGCTTCTCCAGTGCCCCTTCATAATCACCTTGCCTTAGTTAGCAGGCAGGATGGAACTAGACTATCTGACTACTGTATCTATATACATTAGATATGTATATATATATATATATCACCAAAACTATATAATGTTCAGACTTGAAGGATGGCTAGCCAGCATGGACCAATACAGTTCCAACGATGTGCTCTCAAGGCATCCTGCAAAAGGTCGCATGACGAGTTAAGTTGCCAGCAAAAGCTGTCCTAAGGTACGAACATATGGCTGCTGTGACTTGAATCCGCAAGCTCAAGTGCTGCTGCTCCATGCAACTCCAACTACGAACTGGCGCCCAAGGTTCCATAGCCAACCCATGTTCGAATTTCAGCTTCTGCAGGTGGATTTGGTGGGTCCATGGCCTGCAGCCAGCATGTAAACAAACGCAGCGTTCAACAACTGCAGCCAGCATGTAAATTGAACAATATATATATATACATATAATATATAGTGTAAGATAATGTCAGATTATATATATCACTCATTACCACTCCATACTTGGCTCCTTTTCTGTGTTTCCATCTCCTTAATTAACTCTAAGGGCACGCCCCTCGAGGCTGTGGCCTGTTTTGCTCAGTGATCCTGTCATCCAGCCCCGGCAATCAACGCTTGGCCTTTTCGGCTTTCTGCAAACGCTCACCGGCACGTTGCAAACTGCTTCGCCTCGAGCGCCCGTTGGTTCATCCCGTGTCCGATTAGACCCACAACTGGGGCTTGCTGGTAAGCCACTGAAGGCCGACCAAGGTAACCAAGTGCGACAAAGAAAGAAAGGCATTGCACTCCCGCATGCTCTTAACGGGTGCTCAAGTACATTCATTCAAGAGTAGTGAGTTGTGCTCATTTTGTGGAGTCAATTGAGTCTGTGAGCAGCGAATTGGAAAAAACACAGCACCTCAAACGCGCTGCTTTTCTTGAGCCAAAGCACGATCAACGCGGAATGTTCGTCGCGTGATGTTTCTCGAAACATGGAGTGGGACTTCATCGACCGCACTCCCCCAATGATGGGGATTCACACCATCATTCCAAAGGGCGATCAGTAGGTTTTTTCGTCTACATCTCAGCCCAGCTTCTCAAAACTTCCATCCGACTGCGAATCCTCTTCCAGCTTCATGACCGGGGTTTCAGGTCGCTGGTCCTCAGGGGTTGAGATCCCCATCCACTCAGGCCATCCATCCGCCTCCAGACGGATCAATCCCTCGGAGTGAAGGAAATGCAGCCAAGCCGTTTCAGCATCATCCAACTGAACTTCTCCTCGATCTTGTCGGCCTCGAAGCCGCTCTGCATAGCCTGAGCCAGGGACACCATCGGAGGACGCGCTGCCACAAGCATTGATTGCCATGCCATCATAGGTCATCGGAGGAATCCCCGATGATGGCTCCTTCGATTAGAGCTCCACACTTCTTCCCCTCTCTAATGCCCTGGACTGTGCAGCTGGTGTATTGCCATAACCTCGATCACCTTGAACAATCGTTCCTCGAGGAGGCTGCGGTCCAGGAGCCAATCCACTATCAGGATCAACCTGAACTCCTTCCATGGCACCCACGAAGCGGACATAGAAAAAGGTGTAGCCCACCCATTCGTAGATGCCATCAATGTCACAATTTCTTGAGGTGGTCCAATCATCCATCGCCACCCTTCGCTGCCAGAGCTCTCGACTGCTGCTTCGATGAAACGTCACTGTCACTCTGGTAGTTGACATTCTCGAGATCTGAAAGGGGGTGCCGCGATGCAATGGGTGAAATGCCCTCACCCGGCTCTTCTTGAGCACGCGGACAAGCTACCGTTGCCGCAGCTGCCAAGCCCAGGAGCGATGCCAGTTTCACAGCTCCCCCCAAACCAGGCACAGCTGCCAGCAGGCCCAAGGATGCCATTGCAGCGCAAGCCACCTTCTTCGCCCTCGACGTGCCCACACCATCGGGAAGAGAAGTCTCAGCAGCACGAAGGCCGACCGAACGGCGAAAGGCTTCCCATGATTGAGATTGTGTGATAGACTTGGTCAAAAGGTCGGCGCACAACTCCGTGCCGGGCACATGTTCCACGCTCCAGAGGTGATGCTTGAGGCGCTCACGAAGGACATGGCTTCTCAATCGAAGATGCCGTGCCAGGGACCCGATGGCGCCTGAAGCAGTTGCAGGCCTGAGAGATTGTCTCCTCTCAGGATATACGAACCTTCACGGTCCAAGATGTTCTCCTGCAAGACGTTCAACCGATGACCGTTTGGCATCGTTTCACCTCCTCGGGTTGATGGTCTCCTCCAATTCCAAATCAATCACCTTCGGAAGTGGAGAGCTTCTCAATGGGACATCCGAATGGCGGGCGACTATCTCCCGAGCATAGTCCGGCTGGCCAATCAGCAAACTGTTTCTGTCCCACTTCATCTCCACTCCACAAAATTTTTGCCATTCCGATTCCACCACCCAGGTGGGAGGGGCACACTTCCAAGTAGCTGCCAGCTTGGACAAAAATGCCTGTGCCACTGGTCGGTCACCCATCCCGATGAAATCATCCACATAGGATAAGGCGAATCCCACCGCCTTGCCCTCCTCCATCACGTTCACATAGTCGGTCTCCTCACCATCAGCAGACATCAGCCTCCAGACATTAGGCTCTGGAGTTGCATGGATCCAATAATGCCTGCCGCTCTCCCACCACCTCATTCCTCGGAGCACCTCGTCACGGTAGGACTGCCAGTCAGCCGGAGAACTGTCCAAGCCGTAGACAGCAGCTTCCACAATCCACCGAGTATCCTTTGAGAGGATTCCTGCTTCAGTCAGGATTGATGGGGGCTTGGTGCCCATGAGACGTGAGGATTTTCTGGGTGCCAGGAGAAAAGCCGAGGATACATCAGTGATGCCTATCGACCACTGCTCCTGAGCCGCCTTCCGGAGTGCACACCGCAGTGAGCTTCCATCGATGCCACTTGCATACAGCTCAAAGGATTTTCCAGCCTGCTTCGCTCCACTCTCACCGCCACCAGCATCCTGGTCACGGGAATGAGCTTGGAGCTGTGTTGATGTGTCTTCAACAAGGTTCCCGCATAGGACTATGCGAGATCTTTTCTTTCCATCCGGTGCCTTCACCGTGGGAACCACTTTGGAGGGAACCACCAGCATCTCATTGTAGCCCGGCTCCTCCTTCAGGTCTTGAACCTGGATAGGGCGCACTGCCCGGGTGGTCTTCTCAAGAGAGTTCACCTCATACTCGAGCGACAGTTCTCGTCGAACTTGGGCGAGTGGGACAGTGTATGTCTGAAGGACAGCATAGTGGACAGCATGTACCCCCAGACGATCATCCGACCCCTCCTTCACCTCCAAGTGCTGTCCAGCAGTCATCGAAGCCAACTGGTAATTCACAGCACAGTCTCGAATCTCCGTGAGGTCATCCTCCAAGGCCCGGACATTCTTTTCCAAATAGTCCATCATAGCTCCTTGCAGTTGACCCTCCATATCACCTACCGCTACCTCCTTCAACGTGTCACACCAGAGTTGTTTCCAGCCCCAGTGCTCTTCTTCCAACCTTTGAGTCAGCTTCAGGGCCTTCTGCATGTCATACTCCATGGTTCCATCCATTGGTGGCTCACCGTCTTCATCCATTGGAGTTTCGGGGGAGATCAAGCCGTTTGAACGAAGCCTGCGCCATTTGCAGTCCACATTCCTTGCACACCAACGCCTTCCCTCCACCATTGACCTTCACGTGTACCTCCGGTGGCATAGAAAGGTGCAAAGACTCCCCCCCAGTCCGACCTTGGGAAAGGACTGGCCCTCCAGCTGAGTTGCGCTGCATAGTGCACAATCCAGGATCATCAGACAGCCGCGGTGGTGGAAGTTGTGGAAGCACCGGTTCCATTGGCTGCTTGCCCACCACCCGTTGATGAGGTCGTTCTGGATCTTGAACTGCTTGCAATTCCAGCACCGCCCGTTCAGCCGTGGGATCAGTCTGCACCGCAACGCGAGCATGTTGTACATGACCACTGTCAAATAGCACGTAGCCCTGAGACATAAATGGTGAAGGACCCATCAATGTCATAGTGCGAAAGGGCGGTGTCAAAGGTCCAAACCCTGCTCTGTGCCAGCGTTTGGTCTTCACTGTGACTCTCCCCCCAATCGGCAACAACGGAGCACTAGGCACACCGAGATGAGCACATTGGCGCCTCAGCCTCTCCTCCCCAACATAGCGTGCAATGCCCGGCCACCACGATTCTTCCAGCCCCCTTTAATCGATGAGCAACCTGAGTCGTCTCTTCACCTGATGCACCTCCGCCTCAATTCGGCCTTCGAGGGTCCTTCATCCCCTCCTGTCATAGTTTGGTGCATTCCAAATCGTCGGCAGAAGGCCTGGAAGCTCTTGGACAAGAAAGCACACTCTCTGTCTGTATGAACTCTGAGCATCTGCATGCCCATGGCCTTGAAGCGGCAGTAGATGCGGGTTGCAACCTTGGTGACATCAATCTGCGACCGGCTCTCAAGGGGTTCCACCATTGTGACATTCTGAACTCCAACCGGCGCGCTCAAGTCCTCGATGTGTGTCTTCCAGGCAGCATTGATGTTCTCAACCTGCTCATCCGACACCTCACCGTGCTCCGGATCCCCATCATCCAGTGCATCTTCTCCTCCTTCAATGGGAAGGAGTTCACCCTCCTCCCCATCTAAGTCCTCCATCTCTTTGAGCTCTTCATGCTCCCTTGGCAGTCTGGGAATGGCCACAGTCGCCACCATCATGTACTTGGCCTTGGAGCCAAGTCCCAAGTCATCTCCAACCGGCATCGGCCCCACGATGTCATACGATAAGCAATGGGCTGCCCTGTCCCCCATAGTTCTTCGATGTGGAACGTCCGAACCCATCATCCCCATGCATCGACGGCAGTCTCTGCGAAAGGGCTGATGTTGGTTCCTCACATGGGTTTTCCATCCTTCCATGTCCAAGCGACACACTGCTGCTTCTCGATCTTGAGGACCACCTTCTTGAGCATCCAGCCGCTGCAGATATCTCTTCAGACTCTCTTGAATAGCAGCTACCAGCCCAGGCGTCCATAAAGAATTTTCCCGGCATCTGGGGTTCAGGACTTGAACTGGGGTTCAGGAAGTTGACTTTGACTGCTCATTGATTTTGATGGCAGCACCCAGCTTGCGGTGCAGAATTTACAAAGTCTTGATCAGGAATCAGTGTCACTTTCAAGCTTGCACCAAATTATCAGGGTCCAACGGCTGATAACCTATAGCCCAAAAAGGGCTATCATCACCTATGAAGCTCAGGCTGGCAACCTGCTGCTTATTAAGGGCTAGAGCTTGACATCTAGCAGGCTCAAAGCCAGGCTGGAATTTTGACATCTTGCAGGCTCAAGGCTGGCAACTTGCTGCACAGTGCTCATTATTTTGGGTCTACTGTGTTTACAACCCGTTTAATTAATAGCACTTATCTATTAGAAGAGTTTTTGGTGCAAAATGTGTTGAAACAAATTGGTTCTCTCGGGCTTAGTTTTTCAACGTTTGTTACAAACCCAATTGCCCTGATAGTTGCACACCCGTTTCGTTTTGGAGATAGGAAGGCGTCCAACAAAAATTGCTAAAACAAAATAACCCGCAAACCAGGATGAACACACATCCAGAACATCTTTCTTGTTTGGCGCATATCTATTAACAGTGTGTATGAGGTTTGTCGTCGAT